GGGATCGACTGGCTTGGGCCCCGCCAGCTGGAACAACTCACATAGTTGTTCAGACGACCGGACTGTCTGCGTCGCAGCTACAAGCGGCGTAAGTAAATTTTTGCAACCATTAAACTTTGTCTGCCTCTCCATTCACCAGCCCGCCCAACGAACGAGTAATTTCTAAATCACCTCGAGTCGGTTCTGGCCGTCCGAGACAATGCTTTCTTGGGATACCTCTTCCTGGAATGTGTTTGGGTGTGCCTAGCAGTTAGATCTAGGTTTTATCGCTAAGGCTGAACCCTGAGCAAAAAACCGTTAGGCCAGCTAATCTCACAGCGACAGCTTTGCCTCTGGGGCCCCGTCAGTTCCATGAACAGTTAATTTATCAGTTTGGTTAAACTTATGACAGACAAGTTACATTTGCAAACTTCCAAGCTTATATTAACTAATATTACCTATTTAGGCAAAACACCAAATGCCTCCAAGAAGCACACATTATTGCTTATTAATCCCTCTGGTTCTGGCCGTCACAGACGGGGCACGCTGGTTCACCCGCTCCACGCCCTGCTGGTCGTGGCCTCCATGCCCAGGTAGCCCATGAAGACGTGGCAGCCCCAGCAGCACAGCTCGCCACTGCCCACCGCGTCCAGACTGGTGGGTGCAGGTGGCCTGTGTGTCCCAGTGCTCGCAGTCATGCCAAACAACTTGAGAAGCGGCAGATGGAGGCTTACGAAAAACATGTCGTTGGCAGTGGGCGGTCATCGGCAGGGTGCAGCGCTGCAGCCCCAGCTCCTCATGCACCTTCCTGAACACCAGGCGCTCGGCCAGGGCATGCCCCAAGGCACCGAGCCGTCCCTGTGGGGAGGAGGAGGAGGAGTAGGGAGAGCAGCCTGCACCCAGATGTTCCCACAATGGTGCCGTGGGCCTGAGGAGCCGGGCAGGGCCCTTCTATGACCAGGTCACACACTGCCTGGACTTTAGGAAGGCCTTCGACACAGTCTCGCACCCTATCCTCATTGGGAAGCTAGCAGACTGCGGAGTGGATGCCTACACGGCCAGGTGAGTGGCCAACTGGTTTAGGGACTGCACCCAGAGGGTGGTGGTGGATGGGTCCTTCTTGGCCTGGAGGGAGGTGGGCAGTGGGGTCCTGCAGGGTTCAGTCCTAGGAATGGTATTATTTAGTATCTTTATCAGCAATTTGGATGAGGGTGTAGAGAGCACCCTCTCCAAGTTCGCTGATGATACCAAGTTATGGGGCAAAGTTAGTACACCGGAGGGCAGGGAGCAGATTCAGGCCGACCTGGACAGGTTGGAGCAATGGGCAGAGAGAAATAGGATGCAATTTAATAAAGTGAAATGTACTCTGTCCAAGTTTGCAGATGACACAAAGCTATGGGGAGAAGTGGACATGCCGGAGGGCAGGGAACAGCTGCAAGCAGACCTGGACAGGTTGGACAAGTGGGCAGAAAACAACAGAATGCAGTTCAACAAGGAGAAATGCAAAGTGCTGCACCTAGGGAGGAAAAATGTCCAGCACACCTACAGCCTAGGGAATGACCTGCTGGGTGGCACGGAAGTGGAAAGGGATCTTGGAGTCCTAGTGGACTCCAAGATGAACATGAGTCGGCAGTGTGACGAAGCCATCAAAAAAGCCAATGGCACTTTATCGTACATCAGCAGATGCATGACGAACAGATCCAA